AGTTTCAAAGGGCTAAAGCCATGGGACAATACCAATGGACAAGCTGCATGAAGGCACGTACAATAGAGTACACAATAAAGTAATTGCTTGGTAATACAGAATTGCTACAAAAGAGACACAAAGTCAAAGCTATTCATCTTGTATTCATCAGGACTAAGAGGCAAGAAAAAAGTGACACTAATTCCTCCAGCATGAGAAGAAGGTGTTGATTGGTTGGCTTATTGTTGACATGGAGATGCAGCAAGAACAGTTAACTGTCAATCTTAGTTCTCCAACCAGGCAGGTTGACTCTGATTGGTCCGTGTGTTGCCATGGGAGTGTAGCAGAAATTGGCAATCTCCATGACCCCTTTCAAAATGAAAAAGTTGCAAGGGGCATCCAAATTCATTTAATAAAACACGGCATTCAGATTCGTAGCCACTGCTACATGCACCCCACTGCAAGGCAAACTGATCAATTGGTTTCTTGAGGAATTCTCAGCACAGGCCAGTGTTTTTAGCAAATATATGCAATTGTAGAATCACATCTAATTTGGGCATGATGTTCTGACACTTGCAAGCACAAGCTGGTTGGCCATGATTGGCACGTTGCCTGCTGCGAATGGTCAATGATATGTGCTTGATATGGTCCACCAGTGAATGGGCTACATGTATGGTATCACACTGGCACAGCAACTCATATATCACATTATTCATCTTTATGGATTGAAGGCAGCATCCTGTCAGCAGAGAATAGCACCCATGCCACTTTCTTTGGGCCTGAACAGTGCCCAGTCTACCTTAGATTAGCCAGGAGAAGTCTCAAAACATTTGAACAGGTGAAAAGGTACCCTTCTTTGCAATAAACCGACAAATGGTTTCTTCCACCAAAAAAGAGGCTACTGCCAAGCCAGAAACACACTTTGTCTGCCACACAAATGAATAATGTGATATATGAGTTTTAGCGCCTGTGTGATGGCAGATATGTAGGTGACTAGCTGAACGTATCAAACAGCAAGTCCCATTGACTATGCACAATAGGCAGACTGTCCATCATGCTCAACCAACTCATGCTTGCAAACCACATGACCAACAATAGGTATGATTCTGCTTTGGACTACATTTACTAAACAATCGGACCATGCTAAGAACTGTACCAGAAACCAGTGTAAGATTATCCATTGGGGTTGCAGTGTAATGCATTTGCAAATGCTAGAAACATTCACACATTAACATGCAGGACCCCGTTTTATGTTGAGAAAAGGAATTGGTACACACATTGTATCTTTTTCATTTAGAAAGGGGTCCTGGACATTGCCAATCTTTGCTGTATTCCCACGGCAACATACTGACTAATCAGACTCTACCTCCCTGGTTTAAGAACAAAGATTGAAAAGAATACTGTTCATGCTGTATCTCCATACCAATGATGGCCTAACCAATCAGGACATGTTTCTCCTGTTATCTCAATTGGCGTTCCATTTCTGGTTTCTTGGCTCCTGATAATTGCAGGGTGGAAAGCTTTGACTTTCTGTCTTAGCAATGGATAGAGTACAAAGTGTATAGAATTAGTTCAATGGACATAAGGATGATTTCCTGTACAGATAAACATAATGTGCATTGACTTAGGCCAATGGGGTAGGGGATAGATCCCTGTACCAGAAAACACCACATAAACAGAGCACTACTATAAAAGAAGCTGTGGCTTAAGGTGAAGAACAGGGGTAATTTTGACTACGATAGTGTCACATAGGCTATATTAATACAATCGTCCATTATATATTTGTTCATATGTGCAATGCCTTAACACACTGATAAAAGCAAATTACAGTTATATAGTTCTCAAGGTGTAATCAGATGAGAACTGGCACAGAATCAAGGAGGAGATATTAGGTCAGATGACCAAAAGCTTGGTTAAAGAGCTGAGATGGGGAGCAAGAGAGGTTGGTCAGGGGTATTCCAGAGTTTGGGATCTAAATGGCTGAAGACCTGGCTGTCAATAGTCGGGTGATGAGTTGAGGAGCACAAAGTTCTCCGACAGTTTTAGGTTAGGAAGAGATTATGCAGGCGGGGACGCACAAGGCTAGGGAAAGATAGAAACACAATGACGAGATTTATAACATTGATAATGAACAGAAAGCTGAGCAGCATTTGTGACATACACCTTCTTTGGACGTAGCTGACACACAGAAAATCTACTGTAAAGCTGTTCTCTGATGTTTGATTTGAAAGCACAAAACTCAACAATACAGAAGCAATGAGGCACCCCATGAAATCAATAAAAGTCTGCCTTGACCACATTGAGAAAGTTGATGACCATTCTGCAGAAGATCCTTTGAAGAGTAGTCCCAACACTTTTATTGTAACATTAGTCAGATCCTTTTGCCTGATTGCAAATTTCTAGCCTGAAAGCTAGCACAAAGCAATAAATATTTTAACTTGGTAGATATTGGAATACTTTGGCTCATACAAGGAGGAATTGGTTGGCTGGACATTTGAAATTAAACAACAAGGAAATTGTAATAGTTATGAATGGGGACCATATTGCACGGGCGTGCACTAGGTAAGGAACTGTCATTTCACCTTGGAACCTTGGGTTCAAATCCAATAGACGGGATGGAAGGGGATTATTGGTTCAAATACCCAAAAAATCTAGGGCAATTGGCCACTTTTCAGTTCAGCCATGAGTGGATACAAGCCCAGGTCACTCAGCTGTCTGGAATTCAGCTCAAATTTGAGCAAATCCACATTGGAGAGGGTAGGGCATATATTAATGTTAATGTGCCCTCCAAGTCTAAGCGGCATTGTCAGGGATGTTAACGCAAAGTAAGCTCTGAACCAAGACTGGACTTTATCATTAATCCCGAATCGCCTTACAGAGTGTTGCAGAAATTGGCTAATCCAGGTCAGGAACTGGAACAGTCAGTCACCTCTCACCTAACTAGGAATCTGAATGGTTCAAGTTCCCAGCAAAGCTGTACGCATGTACAGGAATGTGTCATGGGGTTGGGGGGAGGGGGTCAGCTAGTAGTTTTATTGGTTCTTACTGCTGCGTTGATCCAATCTTGGGTCGAGCCAGGAGGTTGTCTTGGTTTTGTGGTTGGTGAAGTATATTTCTCCCTCAGGTGACACTGCTTGTTCCCACCCTTCAGGCATTGGCCCTGTTTAAACGGAAACACCACGAGAATCACCCATGAGACTTCTTCCAGTTTTGAGATGTTTTTCTTTGCAAAACAATGTCTGATGGTGGAAACCACAACCAGCAATTCCAACCGATATCAAGAATCAAATTTCTCTGTTTCCCCAACCACAAGAACTGTAGATGGCCTCAGTGCTGCAAAGTTTGGAATGGCTACCTCAAAACCAATTGGAATGGATATTCAAAGGCTGAAATTATGAGGAAGTAGGACTTATTTATAGGCCCATTTTTGAACCTGAAATGGGCACCATGCACTGAGTTTGCTTCTCAGATAGAATCCCTACAGTGTTGAAAAAAGCTATTTGGCCCATTGTGTCTCACCAACACTCCGAGAAATATCCCACATGGAACCCCATCATATCCCAGTATTTCTCATGGCTAACCCACCTAGCCTGCACATTCCTGGACACTATGAAGCAATTTAGCATGGCCAATCCACCCTAACCTACATATCCTTGGACTGTGGGAGGAAACTGGAGCACCCGACGGAAACCCACGCAGACACAGGGAGAATGTGCAAACTCCACACACATAGGAATCGAACCTGGGTACCTGGCACTGTAAGCCATCATGTCGCCCAATTACTAGGCTCAAGGACAGCACAAAATGATTTAAGGTTTGTACTAGTTGGCCAGCTCAGTTGACCATGAAAGTCTGTTGAATTGGATGGAAGCAACAGTCCCTCTGGCCTGTGCGGCTGCATGCTGACATGGATCAATATTGGCTTCTGGATATATTGTCCTTGGAAGGAGCACAATGGAGGTTTACAAGAATGATACCTGGAGTTCAGGGGTTAAGTTATGAATAGAGATTATACAAATTAAGTCTGTTTTCTCTAGAATTTAGAAGGGTAAGCAGTGATATGATCAATGTCTTCAAGATAATAACACGAAAAGACAGGGTAGGCAAAGAGAAACTGTTTCCACCAGTTGGATACTCTAGAATTAGAGGTATAGTCTGAGAATTAGGGCCAGACCATTCAGGAGAGATGTTAGAAAGCACTTCTATACATAAAGGGTGGTAGAGGTTTGGAACTCCCTTCCACAAATGGCAGTGGATGCTGGATCAGTTGTCAATTTTAAATCCAAGATAGATATGTATTTTTTTCAGCAAAGTTTTTATGGGATATGGGCCAAAAGCAGGTATATGGAGTTAGGCCACAGATCAGCCATGACCTCATTGAATGGTGGAACAGGCTCAAGGGGCTGAACGGCCTACTCAGGTTCCTGTGTGGTTCCAGAGGTTGCTGCTGTACACACACTCCAAAGATCCCCCACAGAGCGGGGAGCAATGAATCGAAGGAATGCTGGGTGGAAGACACGTTGCTGGTGGTACTATCAGGAGGTGAAGTTGAACAATGGAGCAGGATGTTTGCGGGAAGGGCCAGAGTGTTGGAATTCTCTCGCAAATGGCATTGTGGGGGTAGGTAAACCCAACATAGTGCAGCAGTTCAAGAAGGAAGCTCACTTCCACCTCCCTAAGGGCAACTAGGGATCAGCAATAAATGTTGCCCAGCCAACAACGCCCACTTCCCACGAATAGATGTTTTTTTTTAGAAAGGCAGCTCGGTCTTGCTTTACACTTGTATATGCAGGTTGGAATATGAGCCACACAGAGGTTGGGATTATAATCAGACACAGGCTGGGAATATTAGCCTGTCACATGAGCGTGGGAGCAGCTCCCCGGTCAGCTGAAATCTCCTGGCAGGTGAAACCTGGACTGATAAAGGACAGATAAATATCAAAAAGAAATTTAATTTCCTTATGGGCAAGATTTGTGTCTCTGGGAAATCTATCCAATTCTGGAGTATTCCACATTCTTACCTTCCATTGTTCTACCATCAGCAGCTGCAGTTTCGGATCCTAAAGTCTGGAATTCCCTGCTTAAATATTTCTATCGCTCTACCTCTCCCAGGGTGTTCCTTATAACCTGCACCTTTGAACATAAAGTGCTGTCTGTAAATGTCTTCAGCATCAAATCTGCCTGATTATCTCTCCTGTGTGGAGTCTGGAAATGTTCCACTCTGCTTGAATCAACGTCAGCGTGGCAGTTTGGGAACGTGAGTGAATGGAGACACTTCGTTGACCTCACTTCTCAATGATTCAGTTTCATTTACTGATGTTCCAGAACAGGCTCACCTTTTACTGAGGCATGAATCTGGTTACTCAGTATCTAACTGAGAATATCACACTACAATCTGCAAGTTGCCAAATTGTTCACATTGGACCCTTTCCTTCCTTCTGACTGCTATTCTATTTCAGTACTGGTCCAACAAGACTTTCTTCTTCTTCGAAGTTGTCAGGCTGTTTGGGAAATTGCACCTTGTAACCCTTTCTGTGCCTCTGATCATTCACAAAGAGCAATGAATGCCTTTGCCTAAATTCACAGACAACACAACAGAGCCAAAGGATTTGTGTTTGAACTAGTGAGCTTGCTGAACAAGAAAAGGGCTTTATCATGACATTGTGCGCAGGTTTTTAAAAGGAAATAAATTCTCAACACTCTCTCATGAATTGGTGGTTAGGTCTCATTTTGAATGGAGACATGTATTGTCACCTCATCTGAAAAGGCTTCAATACCTTAAAGCGTGTGCTTTTTACTGCGTGCCCTTTAGGCCTGATTTTAACCTTTCCAACATGGTAGGAATGGAGTCAACAGCTGGTTCACAGAATTGCCATGATGCAGTAGGAGGCCATTCAGCCCACCATGCCTACAGCAGTTGTAATGCCCAGTGCCAATCCCCTGTCTATTCCCCATATACCTGTGCACCATTGCTATCCAAACAATCATCCAATGCTTTCCTGAATGCCTCCCATTGAACTGTCCCTCACACATTTCCAGGCAGTGCATTCCATATTCTAACTAGTCGCCACATGAAAAAAGTTTTTCACATATTGCCCTTGCTTTGCTTGCAGATCACTTTAAATCTATGCCCTCTGGGTTTTCTTTGCTTCTCCTGTGTTCCTATCGGCTCTGTCCAGCCCACTCATGATTTTGAAATCCTCCATCAAATCTCCTCTATGCCTTCTTCTCTCCAGCCTCTTCGATTATCCTCAATTTCTTCAAACTATCCTCAGAAATGAAGTTTCTCATTCCTGGCACCATTCTTCCAGTTGGTTAAAATAGCAGTCAGGTCCTTGCCATTTTTGTCTGTTGCCCTTTTAATTGGTCTATTTATGATCTCAAACATGGTAGTCTGTCCCATGCAGCTGAGGGCCTCATTAATATTTAACAGGCAAGACTCCCTGGACCCTGTTCAGATCTGGTTGCAATTTTAACTCTAAGATGCTTCAGGTAAGTGTGATGTCGAGGGCACCAGGGGAATTGGGCAGGAGCCAGGCTCAGGACCAGAAGCTTTTACATTGACTTACAGTAAGAGGAACAGGAACACTCCCCATGATGCCAGCGGGGAGCATAGTAACTCCAATCATCGCAAAGCTTCCATCCATCTCCCCTGACCACAATCTGCTCTGCGCCAACCCCACAATCTCTGCACCGGACACTAAAGCTCCAGTTGTGTATTTATATGGATAGTTTCGTCCTGCCCATTGTAAGTGAACATTTCGGTTAAGGAAACATTTTACCCAGACCCACCCAAACTCCTACTCAAGCCCAATGGTCCCGATGGACTTGAAGGTGGGACTGGCAGAACTTTCAGAAATGGAGGGGGTGACACATTCCCCACTTCTAAGCGATCATCACAAAGGAGGGTCCCCTTGGGTAGAGGACACTGAGCCATTAACCTGCTGCATTTCTGTGTTGATAGGGATCTTCATCCCACCCACCCTCCAACTGAGCAGCAAGCAGGGGACGGTTTCTGAAGGTAGCTTCGTGCCAGCTGGCCCAGGTGAGCCTCATGAGGCCTCCTATACACTCAACACTCTCCACCTCAAAGGGCTATGACTGGTGCCACTGCCCAATCTTCCATCGCTCCTCAGCCCATGAAAAAATGGATCGAGATCTATGGAACCAACCACTCCCCATCTTTACAAACAGCAGAATGGAAGCAAAATGTTTCATTGAGCACACTACACATGAGCCCAAAATTGTATCTTTTCCACTCCCTGTGGGGTTGGATGGGCTTTGGATTCAGTGATACATTAATAGAGATATCCCAGCCCTGGTGTTTCACCCAGGCCAATTGTTCAAGGGCCATAGAGGCCACAGGTGCCAATGGCGGGACTTCTGGGTTCCAAATCTCATCGCCACTTTACCTCCTCTCCTGGATGGCCTAGTGGTATTATCGCTGGACTGTTAACCCAGAGACCCAGATAATGTTCTGGGGACCTGCGTTCGAATCCCGTGATGGTAGAATTTGAATTCAATAAATATTTGGAATTAAGAGTCAAATAATAACCATGAATCCATTGTCAATTGTTGGGAAAAACCCATCTGGTTTACTGATGTCCTTTGGGGAAGGAAACTGCTATCCTTACCTAGTCTGGCCTACATGTGACTCCAGACCAACAGCAATGTGATTGACTCTTAACTGCCCTCTGGGCAATTAGGGATGGACAATAAATGCTGCCTAGCCAGCAATGCCCTCATCCCATGAATGAGTAAAGAAAGATACCAACAGGGTGTATACCCACCAAACATTTCTCTCAATTGTTCACCTCCCTTGCTACTCTGAATATCTATCGACATCAGATCTGGTCCCCTCCAAGATATTGGTGCTCAACTAATTCTAGCCTCTTTGTGAATTCTCTATTTTAACTGTTGTGGTATTGGCAGCTGCCTAGCCCCTAAACCCTGGAATGCCCCTTCCTAAAGCTTTATACATTTCTAGCATTCTCCATCAAAACACACCTTAACACCTCAAACTTTTCGTCATCCATTTTTACGTCTCATTATGTGGTTCAGTGTCAACCTTTCTCTCACTATGTTTCCACAAAGCATCGAGGGACATTTCACCATGATGAAGCTGCTACAACAACGTCAGTTGTTGTTGCTATAGGTGAACAGCATGAAGGATGTGGAATAAAGACCTACACCAAATGGAGTCACAAATCAGGCATAGTCTGATTAAATGTAGGAACAGGCTTGAGCAGCTTAGAATCACAGACTCCTACAGTGTTGAAGCAGGCCATTCGGCCCATTGAGTCTACACCAACCTTCTGAAGAGCATCTTACCCAGACCCACACCCTACTATATCCCTGTAACCCTGCATTTCCCATGGCTAATCAGCTTAGCCTACACATCCCTGGACACTAGAGGCAATCTAGCATGACCAATCCACCTAACCTGCACATCTTTGGACTGTGGGAGGAAACCAATGCATACAATGTGCAAATTCCACACAGACAGTTGCCCAAAGGTAGAATCAAACCCAGGTCCTTGGCGCTGTGAGGCAGAAGTGCTAACCACTGAGCCAACTGCTATGTGACCTCCTTCTGTTCCTCTTGAATGGGGAGTCCAGAACCAGGGGTCATAGTTTAAGGATACATGGTAGGCCATTTAGAACTGAGATGCAGAGAAATTTCTTCACCCACAGTGAACGGTTGAGCCCAAAATATTGAAATGTTGTCAAGAAGGAGTTAGATATAGTTCTCAAGGCTAAAGGGATCAAAGGGTATGGTGACAAAGCAGGAACCGGGTACAGATTGGATGATCAGCCATGATCATTTTGAATGGCATAGCAGGCTCAAAGAGTTGAGTGGTCTACTCCTGCTCCTATTTTCTCTGTTTCTATTCTGGTGTTCTGTCAAGTTGTATCTAGACAGGCCAAATAAATGGACGAGGTCCCATTCCTTGAACTTCAGCCTGATATCACAGCTCCCATGTCAAAGTGCAAGAGTTGGTTTGATACCCTCTCAACGGTTCATACACAGCAGACAGTGGCCAAGCATCCAGGATTGTCCTGGACTCTCCAGGAACAGTAAAGTAATCTGGACACTATTGTGAACAACCAAGTAGATAAAACATAGGAGCACAGGGGCATGGATACAGTGAGTAGCCAAGGTCTTTTCCCCAGGGTAGGGGAGTCTAAAACTGGAGGGTATAGATTTAAGGTGAGAGGGGAAAGATATAAAAGGGACCTAAGGGGCAACTTTTTCATGTAGAGGGTGGTGCGTGTATGGAACGAGCTGCCAGAGGAAGTGGTGGAGACTGGTACAATTACAACATTTAAAAGGCATCCGCTTAGGTACATGAATAGGAAGGGTTGAGAGGGATATGGGCCAAATGCTGACAAATGGGACCAGAATGAGTCAGGATGGTCGGCATGGACAAGTTGGACCAAAAGGTCTGTTTCCATGCTGTGCATTTCTATGACTGTTTTTTCCCTTGAATGTTTCAGTCTCCACGTTATAAGATGGGAAAAAAGGCTGCTAAACCAGGTGAATGTTGAAACCTGTAATGTATGCAGTTGGTCTGAGGGAGTGCCTTTAGGTCACGAAAGATGGTGGTGTAATGCCACTCCTCTAGTTATCCAAACACAATACTCTGGGTGTGTAGGTTCAAATCCTATCACAGTTGCTGGTGGCGCTCCCATTCTGTTTAGGGGCTCTTGTGAAACAGTGGTTCGTTCCCCATCTGAGGTTAGAGGCCCATGTGCAAGTTCCACCTGCTCCAGATGTACGTCTGATCAGGTTAATTAGAAGCAAGTACGTGCAGTTGGCAATTCTAATTGCAAGGCAGCTTTACCAGTCTGGTTACAGGGAATGCACGTTAATTGCTCAATATTGTTACATCTCATAATTATATCTCATTGCTAAGCAGAGTGTTGCAAAGATGCCTCATCCTGATGCCTTGCAAGTGATAATTGTAAAAGTTAAAGGTGTGACTTTCTTTTCTCACCATTGTAATTCTGAAAGCAAATATAACCAATCCCTCTGTATAATTG